CTGCCTAAAATCGCAGATAGCATCATTTTTGACATGCGATATGTCATTTGGTAGCCCTCGACCTAAATTTCTTTCGGAGGAAGATCTTGGGCCACTAAAATGAAGGGGGGTCGAGATACAGGCCCGAGAAGTTTTTGGCGAAATTTGGGAAAAGTGTTTTTGCAAGTTATCTCTGCATAGAGCAATTTGCATGCGATACCTTGAGCGCCAATCGATAGATCTCGATGAGTAGATATTGATAGATGTTGAGAATTTGAAAATTGGTCACTGGATGGCCGAGATATGGGCCTCTGAAATTTAGCCCATTTCTTAGAACTTTTCTCGAAACCCCATACATCAGGCAAGAACGAGCCAAAACTTGCCGCTCGATTTTCGAACACCACATGACGATTTTGATAAAATGTATAGGATTTCGATAAAAGTTCTAAGAAATGGCTCAAATTTCAAGGGACCGTATCTCAGCCATCCTGTTTCCTATTTGGACGATCTCAACATTTATCAATATCTACTCATCGAGATCTATCGATTGGCGCTCAAGGTATCGCATGCAAATTGCTCTATGCAGAGATAACTTGCAAAAACACTTTTCCCAAATTTCGCCAAAAACTTCTCGGGCCTGTATCTCGACCCCCCTTCATTTTAGTGGCCCAAGATCTTCCTCCGAAAGAAATTTAGGTCGAGGGCTACCAAATGACATATCGCATGTCAAAAATGATGCTATCTGCGATTTTAGGCAGCTCTTCGAAATCTCGGCGACAGGACTTACCTTCCAACCTGATAGATCTCCCAAGCCCTGGAAACCCCTTAAAATGTCCTCAATTACATCCAAATACATCTAAAACGCATTCCCAACCCTGTAGTCTCCACGAGCACCCGCTGCTTTATGGAATTACCGGCCCTCCCCCAGTTTTCCCGTGAAAATTGGCGACCCCGAGGCGCGAAATCTGCGCTCCCCGGGGGCTACCAGGTGATTTCTCTCAACCCCCATTCGTACTTACACCAAAAGCATGGGAAGTTAATTAAGGCGTAGACGGGTGCGAGGGATTTGGGCCAAAAAAGTCGGGTTTTTGGTGGTACTTTCTCCCCACGAGTTTGGCAGGGGATTTTTTTTTTGATTTCACGTCGTCAGGACAGCCGATCATTACTTGGTAGTTACGGTATAGGAAGTTGTCATCGTTCGACGTTATTTAAGCGGCTTTTACAGTTTGCCATAAGCAAAATGAATAAAACATAAGTAAAGTAAAACAATTTAGGACGAAGCCTAGCGATAAACTATAACAATTTAAGTCTTACGTGTATGCAGGCCCGTAGGAGGGGGCCCAGGGGCCCTGGGCCCCGAAATCGGTCGAGGTCTGAAAAATTCATAAGGGGGGACCCTTATGATTTTTAGTTACAAAAATTTTTCTGCCTGTGGCGCTGTTTATTACTGTTTTTCTAACAGTTTTTGCTTCTTTGAAGCCTATTTTTTCAAAATTTTTTGCCTGCGGCGCTGGTTTTTCATTGGTGAATCAATTGTTCATAGAAAATTTTCGCCTGCGGCGCGTTTTCTGCCTTGTTTTCGCACGAATTTGAGTGTAGCGAACGCCTTTTGCGATTTTTTTGCCTGCGGCGCTATTATTGACGCGATTTTCGGTTTTTTAAAGAGTGGCGACGGGGGGGCAGGTCGCCAAAATTTTTGGGCCCCCGAAATTTCGGTTCCGCTACGGGCCTGCGTGTATGTAATTGTAAGCCTAGCAATCTCTTTCTCTATTTCTATATCTATCAATCTCTATTTTTATCTATTTATCTTTATATCTATCAATCTCTATTTCCAGAACTCAGAATTTAAAAACGCCGCTTTAAGCTACAGTATTTTTCCCGCATCTGTCCGCCAGCCCGCAAAGTACATACAAAATGTACCCCAGCGTTTTACAGCGGAACCGAAAAATTTTAGCTGCCATCATCCTAAATCGCGATCCTCCGCCCTCGGTAAGCCTTATTAAAATGGTCCACCCACACTCACACATCACGGGAACTCGCAAAAATGTTGAGCTGACAGTGAGGGCGGAGTGTGTCGTATTGGATCTGTCTGTTTGTCTGTATGTAGCTTTGTAACTGGCTTTGGCTTTGCCTGTAAGTTTCTCTCTAGCTCTCGCTCTTTGCCTCTCTCTCTCTCTCTCTCTCTCTCTCTCTCTCCCTCTCTCTCCCCTCTCTCTCTCTCTCCCTCTCTCTCTCTCCCCTCTCTCTCTCTCTCTCTCTCTCTCTCTCTCTCTCTGTGATCTCACTCCCTCTCTATCTATCTCTGTATCACTCTCTCTCCGTATTTCCATCTGTCTGTCTGTGTCGCTTTATATGTCTGTCAGTCTGTCTGTCTGTCCGTTTGACCGTCGTCGTTCTGTTTGCATTTTGTGTGGCCATTCGGCGCCGCGCTTTCCTCCCCACCGAATGGCTGCCGTTTTCATTTTTCCGCGGCGAAAAGTCAATTCCCACCCCGGCAGCTGGTTTCACAAAAATCGTTCCCCTGGATAGGTTTTTCGTTGAAGTCCCAAAATTTGACTTCGTACTTGCCGGGCTTGTGATTGAGGTACAACCGGAAACAGTCACACACAAAATATTCAGGTTGAATAGTTTACAAGTGCACATTCGCCAAACATCGAAAAACCAAGCTAGGCCGGAAATTTTGGCGTAAAACTGTTGCCGTGGCATATCTTGATTTCTCTCTCTCTCTCTCTCTCTCTCTCTCTCTCTCTTTCACTCTCTCCCTGTAGCTCTCGCTCGTCCTCTCCCTCTCTCTCGCGCTCTCTCACTCTCTCCTTGTATCAAAAAGATCCTTACATTCCTCTTGCACTCGAATAACATCCCGAACGCCCCAACGCTTCGTTGACTTGTAAAATTTGCCCCTGCAGGTCGATCAAGCCGTTCACAGGTGTATGCATAAACCTTCCGAAGGGCTCCTAAAAGCTGCGGACGCCTGACAGTTTCACATTGTTATCCGGAAACGTCTTTTTTCATTTTTCGACTTTTCTTTCGTCACTGGAACATATTGTGAGGTTTAAAGGGAACGCGGCAGCCAGAGGAGAGCGAGAGTGCGAGAGTGAGAGAGTGAGAGAGAGCGAGAGAGAACGAGAGAGAGAGAGAGAGCGAGTCTGCGAGAGTGAGAGAGAGGGAGAGAGAGCCAGGGAGAGAGCGAGAGAGAGCGAGAGAGAGAGATAACTAGATACGCTTGTTTTCCATGCAAACTACGGTGGCAGTTACGCTTTTTTGATCAAAAAAGCAGAACCCTGCACCGAGAACTTCGGACCGCCCTTATTTAAGCCAGCCATTGTTAAGTTCAAGGCCCGCCTCGAAAATACAGTATACCCCTCAAATCGAAAGCCCGATTCGGATAAAGATCACGACGAGAACAAAAGGCACATGGTGTATGTACCCCCCAGTAATGCCCGTTCCTTTCCCCAATTTCCCTTTTCAACCCTCCGTTCAGGTGTAACCGTAAGGGCACACCAAGTTCCGCGTCATTTTAATCCACCCCCGGGCCTAGGCTTCTCCTCCCCTCCATCCCCATTCGGCTTCAAAATATTTGGGCGATTGGCGGTCCGCGATAGCGCCTTTTCAGCGCTCGGGCTGCGCGCTGTCTTTTTGCGCGTCTGCGTGTGTGAAAATCGGGGTTCCCAAGTGTTACTCCAAAGGGTTTTGGGATTTAGAGGTTAAGGCTGACTTAACCTAGTTTGCGCTTCCTTTTCTAGGTAAGTAAAATTGCCTAGGAACTTTTATCTTCCTTGGGGTCGCATGTTACACGTCTATTGACACCGTTAGGCTACGTTATACGCCTATTTAAACCGCTGTCGACTACGGTATACACCTATTGCCCCCGGGCTTCCGCTACGGTATTCAACTACTGATACCGTTCCGCTACCTTATACGCTTATTGACACCGAATTTCGGAACTCAGAACCCAAGATTACTGCCACGCAGGTAGTACTGTCGTCTTTCGGCGTCTGGCGTAGCTTCGGGTACGCGAAGCGCCAATTTCCCCTACGATTTGGGATTATTGCGAGCTGAGACACCGGATGGAGTACGAGCGTTCCCTGGAGCCGCCAGTAGTCCTTAATTCGGCTACGCTAAGCAACAATTGACGCAAAGTTTTGTGAATTTTGTATTGCTTCTTGTTTGTATTTGACAGGATCGGTTTGTAATTTTCTTGTCTTTGAAAATCTCTTATTTTTGCATTAGTTTGACACCCCAATGACGACCTTTCGCCCCACGCGTACACATTGAACCCTTAGGGGATGCAAGTTGCAAGTTCTCGCCCGCTGGACAATGGCCATAATTGGGGTGCACGTTTTCCAGAGGCTCGGAGGCGAACCGGTGGATTTGCTGGGAGGTGGAGAGTGTAGTCGCACATGGCTTCACACCCTGTTTCAATGGGGAGCCCAGATCGGGTAGATTCCAGCCGTTCTTGAGCTCGTGCTCAATCCAGGTGCAGGCTTAAAGGCCTCTGGAAAGATGTATTCGGTGAATCGGCAAGAAAGTCGCACCGGGCGGGGGTCGAACCAGGGATGGTCCGACCCGCAGCCCGATGCGCTAGCCAGTACACCAAAGGGGTCGAGTGGGGGAGGGCGGCGGAGGGGCCCCAAATACCCGGAGGGGGCCGCGGGGGACGCCTGTCCCGGGGCTTCACTCTAATAAACTGATAGATTCCAGATGAGTACAGGTGAACGTAAACCGCTCGAAGAATGGAGCGTACAACGCAATAATCTGGAAGCTTCTCGTATTTTTTTGCATTGCTGCGATTTCCACCATTACTCAATTGTTTTTCGCAGGGTTTTATATAGAAAGATACAATTTATTGCGTGTTAAAAAAAGCTCAAATTTACTTCAGGCTTTGGATCAACGAAAGCAACTGCCTTGAGGTCGGGGCCGCGTGGAACTAATAGCCTGGAAAAAAAAATCAGCCGTTGTTTCTTCTACTTTACGTGTTTTCTGGATTCTGATTTAGTTCAACTTACAGAAACTCTACCAGTATGGGCGGGTTTCACTGCTTGATCTGTCGGAAGAACGTGAAGGCGAGCTATTTGTCGGTACAGCAATCCGGCCGCCACTATCACCAAATTGTGACCGAGTTAGAAGAAAATGGGCTGGCGCTACCCGCAGATGCTTGGCTCAAGTCTCTACCAAAGATTTGCGCCATCCACGCTCCTAAATGCCAACAAAAAGTTGCTGTATGTGATTTGGCTATATAAATATACAGGAAATAGGAGGAGAAGATGAAGCGCGTTGATCCCATCAATCTAGCAGTAGCGCAGGAAATCACAATACATCCTGAACAGGTTTTGTATTTTGAAAATATACAACTGGGATAGGTTGAAACACATTCACCTGGAAATATTGACGTGGTGGAGCTGATGGATGCCGAAGACGGGGCGGAAGGTGCAGAATTAGACAATGACGCCGAAGAATGGGATGGTCCGGTTACACCGGATTTGGACGGCACTCCGACCGGCCGGCCTTCTGCGAAGGTGTACTCCCTAAAGCATGTTTTAAATTTTGCCTAGAAGCGGCGCAGGAAGTTTGCTGGAATCGGCAGCATATTCCTGGTGACGTTCGAGCAAATCGACATCCTTCTACGGCGGTGTCGATGTGGAAAAAATAGAAGAGTCGATTTCTCGTGTGTTGGTGCAACTTTGCGTGCCAACATGGCTTGTCGTCATTGTGGCCGCAAAGAAAAATGGAGCAACGGGCACGGCTTCACCGACCACCCGAAAGAGAAAGCTCAAAACCTGGATTGGGTTGTGCCGGCCTCAATGTATCTGAGCGGTGTACCATATCAAGTACGTGGTTGGCACAAAAATTGACCTGGGTTATAGAGATTGTTGGATGCCGCTGACTCCATCCATCTTCACTTGCCGTCTCACAGGACCTATAATAGAGTCTTGAACGAGGTCTTGCTCGGCGCCGTTGATAATGTGCTAGCAGAAGTGCAAGTAAAAGCAAAAGAGCTGATCATCGCCGCTTCCGGACAGGTGGCCTAAAATTTGTTATCGGAAGATTATGCTTTAGAACGGGCTACGCATCGCGACAGATGCGTCGTACGATAGCATGGGCTATTGTGCCATGCTTTGTCGACTGCCGATCCTATGCTTGCGGACGGGCCTGATCATCTCCGTGATCCAGAAGGAGCGCTATAGGGACGGCAAAGGAAATAGTGGCGCAATGGAACTGCTGGCGACAAAGGACGCAATACAACTGGCACCTAAGCTGATCGGCATTCCGATCCACAGCCTGACCACCGATAGGTCGTCCCCGATAAAGAAGCACATGGCCGAAAATCATGGACCGGGATCGGCACAGCCTATAATCCACATGTTCGACAATTGGCACATAACCAAAGAACTGAATAAGAAACTACGAGTGGCCGCCAAGTTGAAGCGAAATGGATACCTAGAACTGTGGCGGCACTCCGTCGTCTCGTACACGTGGAGCATCGTATTTGGTTCGGGCGGCGATCCAGAGCTCGTCGAGGAAAAGCTCCTTTCCATTCTACAGCACGTCTGCGGCATTCACAATTTCAAAGGAAATCCCAACTTCAAAAAATTCACCGCGTGCGAACATGGACCGGATATCGACCATCGTCCACCACTCGACCCGAATTCTCCAGCCTACGAATTCCTAAAAAGTGTATTCACCCGCGAGTTGATACAGGCATATCAACAAGCCGACTATTTGGGAAGCACCGCCGCTATTGAAAGCTTCAACAATGCCTTGCTGAGGCATTGCTCGAAACGGATCTGGCTGGCACCGGAGCAGCATCAAGCACGGCTGAAGTTAGCTACTCTAGAATGGAATTCGCGTAAATTCCTCGAATTGGAAGGCGTGCGTTGGGTTTACAGCAAACGGCGCCAGCAGCGGAAATATCAAGAGCGGCCTGCCTGGAAAAAGAATTGGGCGACCGACAAAGCGCGAGAGAATCAGTGGCGAGCAGATGCTATCTGGGAAGCGAAAGAACTCCGATACGCATACCTTGATTCCAAGGAGGAAATTGGAACGCCTTGCGGAGATTTCTGGACCGAGGACGTGGGCGACTTTGATCACGTTATTGACATCAACCGCATGTTGGCCAACGAAGACGAGGTTCAACTGCAATTTGATCAGGAGGACAACGAGACCGAATAATTTATGAAAATTGTTGCTAAATTTCCAATATTTTATAAATTCTATCACTGCCAATACTAAACCTCGACGAATTCTAAAAACACCGTAGAAAAAAGTACGTATGTTATCAAGCGCGAGCAATGAAATCAAAACTGGGACCTTCAAGGCATTTTTTGCAAAAAGAAACAAGTAGATCATAAGTAAACAATTTATTCAATCAACGACATACGAAATTTTTATATTCTCTGTTGTAAAGCCGGAATTGCAAACCGACGGGGAACGGGGTCTGGGGGCCCCTTACGCGATGGAAAGTGTCCATTGTAGCGCCCCGTCGGTCCCTCACCCCTGGGGACGCCCGGCCATCTTTCCAAGGGTCTTTAAAAACCTCATTGGTAATCCCGTCTGTTTTAAGCCTAATCGATTACGCTATAAAATTACGAAAATTTTAATAAGGATTTGAAATCCATTTTGATCCTAATTTAATAAACCCTGCCCGTTTTCTCTTTTCCTTTGCTTTTTCTTACTTGCCAGCTAAAATAACACGTGTAATATACACCTAAATACAAAAAACCATACCTTTTTAGCTACCGTACCTCCCAGCTCTCCACCTGTTTTGATGGGGTGAGCACGAGCTGCCCGTTATACAACCTTGACCACCCATTTCGACCCGCTCATCTTTCATGCACCCGGCCGACCAGTGATCCTCTGAGCAACGCGAACCCGAGCGATCCATGCGCGCAGCTGGGTTTTGATCACAAGCACCCACCCACCTCCATTCACACGAGCAGCCGACCATCGCCCAGAAACCTGTTGATCTGAGCATCAACTTCCGCCTGAGCATGAACTCTGTCTTCGTGACGGTTTTAGATCGGCTGAAACGAAGGCCAGGGAGCTTTAACAAAGGCCAGAAAGAATCGGCCTGAGGCTGTGAAGTGTGGCTTGGGGAGGGCGAGAAGTGGTGTTTTGGGATTGGCTGAGGTGGCTGGCAGAGGTCATTGAGAAAGCGCAGAACCAGGAGAATTTATTTCGCCCAAAGAAATGAAATATTGGCAAGCCAAGTAGAGATCATTGAGGTGTCCTGGATTTTCAATCCTAAAGAGGATAATTCAAGAGACTAAGCTTACGCCTTATCCTAAGCCCAAGCCTAATCCTAAGCCAAGCCCAAGCTTAAGCCCAAGCCTTCAAGCGAATCGTAACCCAGGCCTAAGCCTAAGCCAAAACCTAGGCCTAAGCCTAACCACAGGACGAAGCCTAAGCCTAAACCAAGCCTAAGCCAAGCCTATGTCCCGCGACGCCTAATCTTAAACCGCAGTCCATCAATGACTCATTTGCATCATTACCCTGTTTTCGCGCCGAACTTGTTGATCTTCCCCCTCCTCCCAAACCATCCTTTCCGATCTTTGGCGCCATGACAAACTTGTACCCGCATAAAGACCAAGAAATGATGGTGGTGTGGATAGGGGTAAGACGATCCCAAACTAGCGTCAGTTTGCTAAACAGCAGATGTTTGCTGATATCCGGTGGTGGCTAGACTTTTGCTGGGGGTTGAATGGCTTGCAGAGGGTGGAGGCATTCCATTTCTGAACAAAAACCGAGCAGGGTGGAGGGTGATCGGTGCAGAGCTCACAATCAGGCTCCCCGCAATGGCTCGTGCTCCATCTCTCTCTCTCTCTCTCTCTCTCTCTCTCTCTCTCTCCAGCCATGACCAAATTGGCCGAACAGGGTCGATTTTGGCGAATGGCTGGGGAGGGCTCGAGGCGCGGTATCCGATTCTCTTGTTGATTTTCTATAGTTCATCCGCAAGATCACCCCCCTTTTTGGGGGATGCCAACACCTTTTCTGAAATTCCTCTACCCCTCCTGCACCTGAGGATTTCTATAAAAACCCAAACGTTCTGCACTTTGAGTCATCCCGAGCCTTGGCTTTGTTGGAGCTCGAGCTCCCAGATTAAAGGTTGGGAGTTTCACTCATTCTCGTTTAACCAGGATATCTCTAGAAGACTGTTCAAAGCCTAATTTCTCGTTGTGCTTTGCTTGCTTAGTTTCGCCTAGTTCTGGACTTAAATATAAGTCGAAACTCTTGCCTACGCTTTAGCCCGGCTTCGACCGAAGACGAAGCCTAATCCTAAGCCTAAGCCGAACATGATCCAAACTTTCATCTTTTCTGTTCTAATGCTGTTCTCCCATAAATGATTTGCATGGATCCCCATGAATCTAAATTTTTATCTACCATTTTCTTTAATTTGTAGCTTAAGCCTAAGTAAGCCTAAGCCTGAGATTGAAGCTAAGATAAGGCCCCAAGCTAAAGCCTAGGCCTAAGCAAGCCGAAGCCTGAAACTAACCCTAAGCCTAAGTTTACCTTTAAGAAACCCAAGTCTAAGTTAAGCTTAAGTAATAGCCAATCCAGAGCGATAGCGAAGCCTAAACCTAGCGAAACCCAAGCCCAAAAATAGTTGATCCAGGAAAAACACACTTTATGCCATTTTCTGGCCACTCAAAACGGCCCTCCTCCGCCCTGATTTTCCACGTGGAGGTGTTGTGTATGCATGTCGGTTTGTCTGTTTGGCTGTCGATGACCATTTGTATGTGTCTCTTTTCGACTAGAGAATAGCGAGAGAGAGAGGGAGAGAGATAGTTAGAGAGAGAGATAGAGAGAGACGAGGCCTCAAAACGTTGGCCGGCTCGAGCAGAGGCCCGATCGACCCGGTTCCTCCGTCGTTTTTTGCCGGGCCGTTTCCCCCTCTTTTCCGTTCCAATCCTATCCACGGGTTTCCCCGCAATGCCTCGTGCCTCTCCACAACACTCCGCAACACTCCTCCCCCCTCCTTTTTCCCCATTTTCCCTTCCCATTTGGGTCCGTTCACACCGGGGGAAGGGGGGGGAAGGGGGCCGTTCCCGTACTTTTTGGGCCCTTCAATCGGGGCCCATGCCTCGGCCGGTTCGGGGGATTCTTTGCTCTCTGTCTCACGCTGCTCTCCCTGTCTCTCGCTTTTCCGGATTCCAGACGATATCTTGTGTCGATTTCATCTAATAAAATGATTCCTAACTTTTCCAAGCTCTTAATTTTGTTTAAATGTTTTCCCCGATTTGATTTTGCGTTAAAAACTGAGCTAGGTCTAAAACTAAACTAAGCCTAAGCAAAGCCTAAGATAAGCCGAAGCATGCGTAAGTTAGGCGTAAGGTAAGCTTAAGCTCAACCTGAGCGAAACCCAAGGCAAGACAAGGCTTAAGCTTTACACCAAGCTTATGGGCGTGAGCCTGAATTACCATTTTCACGCCCAAAATCTTTAATTTTTACATTTTCCTTTTTCCTACAAATTTCACAAGTCGACTGAGCATATGATTTTACCGTATAACCCCTAATTCTCCCTCCCACCTACCATATAATTCTCTTTTCGAATCACCCCCAAAACTGCCTGCCAGGACAAAAGTTGTGCCCCAAATTTCAGCATCAAAATCCGAGCAATAATTAAGTGAAGCGTAGGGTACATAGTATTTGAGTTTTCGGGTTGTTCATTTATTTTTGGACGGTTTAAAGGGGCTCAGAAAGCTCAGAATTTGCCCTTTGATCAACTGGGGATTAGACAACACTACCGTAGTCCGAAAGCCGCGTTTTCCCCAGTTTTTCTTAAACAATTTCCAGCCAATAAAGACATTTCCCTACGTCGTTAGGCCTTACGCGTATCTGGCAAGACCTAGTCGCCAGAAAGGGTTGACTTCATGCTCTGTGGCCCCTTTAAACAGAAAATTTTGGACTCAAAGCCTATCCTCAATGTTCTCTGCACCATGCCAGCACCACCTTCATAATATTTTGATGTCAGTATTATTTACTCCCCGACCAAAGCACCCCTCCTCATTTCAATTCCACTATCCCTGCCCGAGTTTTTTCTGACTGATATTTTATTCGTGACCCAGAAGAAGGGGGTTTCGCTTATTCGGGCTGCCCGTTCCCTTCCTCGTTTCCATCCCCTCTCTTCCTCTTCCTCCCCTTCCCTGGCTAATCCAATTTTCGCGATAATTCCGCTCCCGACCTCCGGACGGCCTTTCTCCCTCCCTTCCATCAGCTCTTCCACTCCTGATTCTCCTCTTCCAGCAGAAACATTCACGAAAAAGAACGAGTTCTGGAATTCAGGGCTTTTGCTGGGGTTCGAAAAATGCAAATTTCGAAAAAATCTCAATATTTCTCGCCCTCTCTCGCTCTTTCTCAATCTCTCACTCATTCGCTCTCAGTCTCTCTCCCTCTCTCTTTTTCTTTCTCTCTCGCTCTCGCTCTCTCTCTCTTTCTCTCTCTCTCTCTAGCTTCTTGAATTTTAATTTTCTGTCGTTCTTTTTCCATTGTTACATAACATCTCCGGGTCCGCCTGTTTCTAAGTTTTTTGACGGACAAATAAACCACAAAAGTCTACCCCTTTTGGCCTAGGTCTCGGCAACTTCATTTCGCTCCGAATAACGTATACTTTCATTACCATAGCTGCAACATACATCCTTTGTCTTTCCGCAAAGATATCCAGTGCTAACGAACGGAAAGGGTTTATCCTCATCCTTACCAGTCCCTTTAAAAACCCTCCCACGATATTTAAGCGCGGCCAGCTATACCTTTGCCTTTTCTAGGAGGCGCCATTATAACCCCCCGTAATTTGGCGTCCGTACACCTAATAATTTCCATTTTTTTCTGCAAAATCTGTGCTATTCAGGGGCAACATAAAAGGTACCCAAAAACAAAAGCCAAGCCCACCTGGTGAGTTGCCATTTCGGAACCCGAATTTTCAGCTGAGTTTGGATGGCACGTAACCTGCTAAAAGTCGCGGCCTAGGCATAGGCTTAGGCTTAGGTTAATGTTTAGGCTTAGGCTTCGGCTTAGGTCGAAGCTCAAGTTCAAGGAAAACATGCTATCGTACAAAAAAAACCATCCCCGTGTCAATTTTCAATTTCCGCCTTTTGGAGGTGGACCAAAATTCCGTGACGATACTATTAACCCCTTCTTTGCAAGGCCATTAAACCCACCCTTCTAAGCCGAAAACATTTTATTTTCCAATCTCACTTATTGCAAAGTTACTTGAGAACCGTTTACCTTTTTACACTGTATTTACCAACTGACTCATTCAATGAGAATTTGGAAATCCGGGGCCAGAGATTAGACGTGGGAAGTCTAAACCAGCAAGGGTACGGTGACCCTACTTCTCCATTGGCTACGCGAAATTTTGCCGCATTTGCAGGCGCGCATTAGAATTGGTCTAAAAATCTCGGAGTGAACAAGAAGTACGCTACAGCGTAGTCAACGTCCACTTTTTGGCCAGGTCTTTCTTGGTACATCCGGAATTAAACCTGAAATTAAAGGCCGGAACTTTTGAAAGCACTCTAGTTTGAAGCAGCCTACGTCTAAAAAGAAGCCGTTTTAGGCACTTTTGAAATTTTGCTATGTGAAATAACGCCTTGAATATAGCTAGAATTTCTGAACAAATAGTATCTTTCAAAAAGCGCTGAACGGCTACCCAACTGCAAAAAGTCTGATCTAAAGTGGACGATTCTCATTTTTGGCAACCGCTTAACAAAATGTAAGCTTTGAGAAACCGTTTGTTTCTGAGTAGTTTTTGAAGAAGTACATTTATTCACGATGTCAAGCTCTATCAAATGAGGCATGGCGCATCGTAAAACTTCAAAAGTACTTAACGCTACTACAGACGCTTGTAAGCGGAATCCTAAATTTGAAAAAGCGTCAATCCGACCCCTAGCAGAAGAAAGAAAGAAAAAGAAAAGCTCAACCCGCCGGTCGCTGCTTTCATAACCGGTAATTTTTTATAAACTCGGTTACCTTTCTAAAACCTTTCCTTTTTTTACGTCCTTTTTGAACGAAAAATCGGAAGGGTCAGCGTTCACTTTTGATGTCGCGGGCCCGTTCAAAAGGTTTTTTGAAGAATCAAAATTTTTCAAAACCCAAAATATCCGAAAATACCTCCATCGAATTTTACCCTGTATTTTTCTCCGCGCTGCCAATCGTTTCCCCCTCCCTTCCCTCCCCCGCAGCCCGCCTCCCCTGTATTCCCATAGCTATCTCCGCATTTCGGCAAATAAACGGCAGGGTTTATCGCCTGGTTGGGCCGCGTGTGCCCCGGCTGCCCACCACCACCCGGTGGCCCGCAATCAGCTTGCCATTCTTTTCAGCCGGCCTTTTTCGGGGCTGCGGGCTTTTGTCTTGGGCACAGTCTAGTGTCTTGTCTTATGTTGAGGGGGTCGAAAAGTACGTACGGGTGATATTGACGGAATTGCAGCCTGGTAATTTTGGTTTGCGCCTGGTTTTGCGGGGCCCCCATTCACTTGTTCGTTGCCCATTGGAACAAAACAGAAGGGTTGGAGAAGCATACCGCTCCCAAATTTGTGCGTGTATGCCTCTGAATATTCTTTCCTGTTGATAAATCGCTCGGAAGTGAGCTTTTTTAGTTTTTTTTCAGCTAATTTGCATAATCACAAATTTTTCATTTTTGCCAGATTCAATTTAAGCCTGACCGTATTTTTTAAGCAAAGCTGAGAATTGGCTGTAGCCAAGCTTAAGCGAAGTCTAATTCTAAGGCTAAGAACAGATCCTAGCCAAGCCTATCCAAACCTGGGCCAGCCCAATCCAAGCCTTAGTCATGTCGAAGCCAAATCTAAAGCAATGCCAAAGCACAAGCCTAAACCTACGCGCAAGCCTAAGCCTATGCCTAAACCAAGCCTCATGTTTTTAACCTTGTAAAAAACAGAGCTACTTTTCTAGATGGACATCCTATTTTGTGCCCTTTCCACTCCTTGCCCACTACCGTAACCTCCCTTGATGACGGTCATCAATCAACCGCTCCGATTGCGCGCATTCCCATCTTTTCGGTTTACCCCGGCTACCGTATCCTTTGGGGGGCCCTTTGGAGCGCGAGAGCCATATTTGGCTCAGTTGAAATGCGCGGATAACGGGCGATCGTATCCCCAAACTCTTGAAGTTAATCTTTGGATACCTTGAATCCATTTGCCTTTCCAGTGATTTCCCTATCTCCTCTCCCAAACTTTACATAAACAACCAAATGAAAACATTAATTAACGCCGGGATTTGACCGGATAGGACCGGACCTCGACGAGGGTCTAAATTTCGGGATAATCCGCCTGAACGTTTGGAGGGTGCTGGGTGGTGCCGGGGCCCCCGAGATGTTCCTTGTTTTCTAAATGTTGCCCACGCCCCAGGGAGTATTAAAGGGTTTTGAGATGACTGTGATTCGCCCCGAGGGGAGTCCAATTTGGAGATGTTCGGTTGGGGGTATATAAAAAGGTGTTGTGGGCATTCGGGTCCCACGCTGTGAAATTTGCTATTTCTGTGTCGGGAGCCAGAAGATCAAAATTAATGAAAATTTACGAGGAGTTTGCGCCTAGGACTTTTAAAAATCCTCACAAGCTGGTGTATTTATGTTAAATTGCATATATCGTAGTTTTAAAACGCGAAATTTTTGCTTCTAGTCTTCAAGTCACGGCTTTTTAACCAAGTTTAATCTTATTTTAGTAATATCCACTAGGCTCTAAATTAGAGATTATTCCGTCCTCTACAAGTTAAAAGTTGCGCCCGAACTCTATTCCCCATTTTCGGTTTTTTCTGACAGGCCAGGTGTTTCCGCCGAGTTCACTTCCGCCACCCTCATTCTTCTGATTTTTTGAACTTGCCTAGCTTTTGAATAAAGTAATTTGCTGATAGCTTTTTCATTTGTACTCAATTTTATGTGCAAAGGTTACTTTAAATATGCTATTTTTTCAGGGTCCCCCTCGGCTTGCGGGATAAGCCCTAGCATTCGATCAGCAACTTGAAATGATGAATAATCACATCCAAACCTCGCTCGACTACAGGCCGACTGGTAAGTTTGAAACGTATGGTATCGCTCTCTTTCTCTCTCTCTCTCTCTCTCTCTCTCTCTCTTTCACTAAATGTCTTTTTCTAGTAGAAGGCCGCGCAGGAATTTGTCAAGTCTGTGGTGACCACGCCACCGGGAAGCACTACGGCATCTGGGCCTGTTATGGGTAGGTTTTTTAATCAGGCCAGTCGAGTCTGCAAATACATCGAAACTTTCGATTTTTCAGCTGCAAAGGCTTCTTCCGACGTACGATCACCGCCGGCCGACGGTACAACTGCCGATTTGATGACTCGTGCAAAATTGATAAGAGTGGGTCGTTTGGAGCGATAGATTTCCTCGGAAAACCGATTTTCGGGTTAGGGTCAACTGGGGCAGATAGGCGAGTTGAAAAAGTAGTAAAGGCAACTCGGGGGAAAGCTTGATGGAAAGATATTCGAAAGTTTCATACAGCAATCAGGTGGAACTGATTTTTTGGCTAATGCTCTTCTCGACAATCGGGTTTTCAATGTTCAAAATGCAAATATTTTGCTTTCCCTGTAATTTTCATTTACTATTTATTGTTTTCCTGTTCTCCAGGGCCAGAGCAACATTTTGGTATACTTTACAGCTCTGTAGCTACGAAGAGAACCGGGATACAGACTCAGAACTTATCGGGACAGGGGAGTGAGACTCATATCTTGCAAGGATTCTGGCAAACTAGTAGAAGCTTGAAAAAACCGCATACATATACCTATGCAACGCCACGAACTTCTATACCTCTATAAAAATTCTCTTCCAGACCAACGCAACGGATGTCGCCACTGCCGATTCCAACTCTGCATCCGCCAAGGAATGGCCCCGGATGGTTTGTTTTCAATGTTCAATTTCTTGCGGTGCTCTGGTACATTTTCCCCCACTCTCAGCGTCCTTATCGTACTTTGCCTACCCCAATCCTGGATCGGCGACCACCCTACCGTAGCCAAGAGCTGAACCCGTTCTTTAATTTCGTTTGGCTTTGCCATCATCCCTGCCACGGGATAACCCGCTTATCTGAGCACCAAATAAAAGACGATCCTAGATCCGATGCAACGAATAAAAATGCAACCCCCAGAAATCCGGAGATGATTTTTGCCATTTTCAATCTTGGGGGTTGGGTGTCAACAAGATTGGTCGTTGAGCCTTGTAATCCGGATACTGGGGGCACAGTTCCGCCCAGATTCCATAAAAGGGTTGGTCATTAGAAAACGGAAGGTTCTTCAGCTATTCGACCGGATCGAGATTTGATTGGAAGGCAGAGGAATCCTAGAAGGAATAGACGAGCCGACGAGGCACTTCCGGAACCAGCAGACGATAAAACGTGAGTTGGGGTTTCGGTTTCGAATTCGGGGATCTGATTTCTCCTTAACTTCCTGAAAAAAACTAATGGTAGCTAAAGCCCATTAAGACATCTTCAAATTAGATACTTTGCAATGTCATAACTTTCTAACTTCTTTTAGTGACATGCATTACGCCGTGCTAATCCAAAGGCTTCTGAGCTGTGATCAGAATGCGAAACTGTCCAACGATGCTCCCTTCCCTTTCCACCCTGAACAGGTAAAACTTTTTGAAAAACAACAATAACAAGGTTCTAAATAAATTTTACCGACTCGGAGTTAAAAACCACTTCAGGATCTCGTCACCCTTGGCGACCTCTTCGACCCACCATACCCGATGACGGCCGCGTGGAGTCAGGTCAGTATATTTTTTCAATAAAGTTTAAAAAATTCTGATGTAAAAAATGTCTAGAGTTGGATACTTTATATCAATCTGCCAATTCATTCTGGCATACGCTTTAAAGTATCTATTTAGCCACTAACCCCAACGACCAACCAGTTCGCCAGCATGGACGATACCTTCGCCGGCTTCAGGAGGTAGTAGCTTTAAAATTATAATTTTTCTGGATATAGCCTGCTCACACCTTTCAAGTTAATAACGTAATCTAGATGCCTGCAAAAATCCGTCTTCTGGATCAACCGCATCGGCGACATGATCCCCGGAATCCAGCGTAGTGAAAAAGTTGAACTGCTAAAAAACGCTTTCCATGGCTTTGCGTTGTGGCAGATCTGTGTGGAATCGTATAGAGTAAGTCACTAAACTCAGCCTAAATTATTACGTCTTTTTCAGCTGAACATGCCAAACCAAGTAGCACTATGCAACAACAAGTCCTTGTCACTACCACTGAACTGGAATTCGTGCCCTCGTTCGCCATTTGCGGTACCCGACGATCCGAAGAGTTCCCCCCCAAGTACTTGGGGGTAAGAACGTTATGAAATTGCATCTAACCTATCACTTTTAAGGCCGATGTTCGAGGGTGTGTGCTGGAGGATGATAAATGAGATCATCGAACCGCTACATCGTGTCAGACCCAGTGAAGAGGAAGCGGCGCTCGTTTGTGCGATCATCATCCTGGAGAACCGTAAGTGATACTGAGGCAGTAAAGATATGATCAAAACCAAAAAACTATGCTAAATCAGCAGTGGGGAGCGCACATTGTGGTGTAGGCGTAGTGTCACGTAGCCGACGGGTTCAATCTGATTATCAATCAATTTCCCATTTTCAGCCACTTTCACGCTACGTACCGAGACAAGATCAGTCATCGAGCAGCTCAAGGACCGGCTCAGTTGCTCGTTAATGTATGCCATCCGGCGCAGCGGTTGCGAAGATGTTGAGGACGTCCAGAGATTCAGTCACATCCTCAACCTGTTACCGGCCGTCGCTGTAAGACTTGAAGTTTTTCTTGTTTTACAGGAAAGAATCCATTTCTGATTTGGTGTCAGGATTAAACTAATTTTTTCAGCGCGTCAGCTGCAACCTATCCGATTGCCTCAATTTGTCGCGAGTTTTCAATCAACTCCAAGAGCCACTGCTCCGACGCTTCTACGATATTTTGGCAAGCGGAGATAATGAGGTATGTTTTTGACAATTCTCCCTGTATTTCCTTGCTTTCCTCGATTTTTTAAAAACTCGGTTTCAGAATTGTCTCCGTCTAACCGACAAAGATTTCGCTGATGTCGTCGCGACACTTTGCGACAAATCGCTATAAGAAATCCCTCCAAGATGTATTCCCTATCTACGAGTTTCCGCCCGGTTTTTTAGCGTTTTCGTTTTACAAAGAACTCTTACGGTTCAGTCCTTTGATCTCATTTTTCATTTTCAAATCTGTACTTTTGGTTTTGCCGGTGTGTTGTGTTTTTTGTAGTGTTTTTGAATGAAGGTGGTTTGGAAGACTTTTGAAACGCAGTAACTCAGTTTGCACTTCCAAACAGCTTCATGTATACCGTTGTATTTCCACTGACGGCTATCCTAGTTTGGGTAGAAACAGCGCGACCCATTGGCGATTTGTCAATAGTATAATTGGTAGAATTTCCTCTGGCCTTTATTGTGAAATACGGCCCCTTGAAAATACCGGTGACAGAGATGACGATGATTCTGTCCGCATGTGATTCTTCCCCGTTAGCTAAAACGCGTCCCCGTTTTGCAACGATGATTCTTGAGCATTGCTACTACCTCCTCGCACCTAACAAGTCAGGGGTGTTGTCCACTATGTATACCTTCGAATCCCGGGAATAAATATTTCAATTTGAGCGAGGAAGGGGACAGTGCAAAACAAAACAATTTATACAGACACCGAAATGAATTCACCGCGTCATAAGTCTTGCAGCTCGCGGATGACGGCCATCGCGATTTTGTGGTGCACGAAGGTGGATGGATGCCATAAATCGTGGTAGGCGTAGTTGTAAATGGAGCGAGTTCTGGAAGGTAAGTTTTGCTTGCTTATCTATCCCTGAAGTCTGGTTGTAACTTCTTCGTACAATAGCTTACGTCTTCCATCGTTTGGATCTTCGTGTGTTTTTTAGAAATCAAAAATGTATACTACTACAACTCAATCGAATCCAAAGGTTGGCTACGCATTTTCCTACCCCGTATCCTTAGCATGATGTGTAAACGGCTCGGTTGTGTTCAGATCCGTCTGCGCGCGCACCACCACTCCGTTTAAGTCGAGCACCCTGAAATTCTTGTTTATCTACCGCCACCGGCAAAATTTAAAAAGGGCCACCAGCTCGGCTTAATGCTTTAGGCCGCAACGACCCACCGGACCGTAATCCCGGGGGCCTTCCTTTTCAGGCCCAACTCGCTGTCGTAGACCAGGTGAGTGAGTTGCTGAAAAAGAAGTTATCGAGGGTGTAGAGCGGAGTATACCGTGTTTGCCTCGCCGACCATTGCTCCAATCTTTCGTTGCAGTGTTTGGGTGTCTTCTGCGGCCAGAACGCCAGGTGCCGAACTTTGATCGACAATGTTTAGGACTACTAGGGTTCCGGAGGTCATTGTCTAAAAATTGAGGTGTGGGGAGAGAGGGAGAGAGAGAGAGAGAGAGAGAGAGAGAGAGAGAGAGAAATAGAAAGATAGCTGACCTTTAGTAACATATTCAGAGCTTCATGGATATTCTCAACGACGTCGTTAGTCTTGTTACTTCCGGTGAAGAAATCGATGGCGCCACCCGATTGGAAAACGACGAGCGCGTCTTAAATTATCACGTTTAAATATTTCGCGGTATTTTCGGCTTTTCCAGAAGCTTTTTCACACCCACTCGACGGGATCACCGGATGCGTATCCACAAATCGCTCCACTTGCCACAACAGCCCGCTCCAATTTGCAAAATAAAAATTATCCATCCCACTCTTCGCACCGGAGAACGCGTAATTGACGTACTACAAAGACGTCAGGCAGCCTAGAGAAATAATACCCGATCACAGCCCAGCATTTTCTGAACGTATTCCGGCCAAACAGGGCCGTTGCTCGTCCTTTCGAAGCTGTAATTAGGCGTTTTGCGTAGAGGCGGTACGTTAATATTACCCATAAGATTCATCTCCAACTTCTACGCCATCATCAGAGAGTGAGTCTCCAAAGACGAAAAATGAGCCGCAGGAGAAGTCGTGGGGCTGGAAAGCGAGGGTAGCTTAATTTTTTTGGTAGTGTCAGCATTTTTCTAACTAACTCTTTTGTTTCTGTTAAAAATTGCTGTTTTTATCATGATACCTTTTTCGTACTAGCGGTATATCTTAAAATATCAGTATATTTTAATGGCTTTCATTACCTTATGCAAAATCCGGGCAACAGCTACCGCCGATGTCAAAAGTATCAAAAACGGTAGCCTTTGCATTACAGTATATTTCGATTGAAAAATACAATAATAGCCTAAAGGCACAGGTGGAATAGAACTGCGCTGAATTTCCAGGACTGACCCGCCGAAGCTGGGCCCTGGAGCCATATCCGGGATCCACCCGGGGGCAGCTGGGTCAACGATGAGCCCCCGAGGCACAATGGTCCCTTTACCCTTAGTGTCTGGCTGTCGATGACCATCGGATCGTCTCTCTCTCTCTCTCTCTCTCTCTCTCACACTCACTCTCACTCTCTCACCCGCTCTCTTTCCCTCTCTCCCCCCTGTATCTCTCTCTTTCTCTCTCACTCTCACTCTCTCTCTATCCCTCTCTCTCGCTCTGTCTGCAAATAATACATTGTCGAAGCCGCGAAACATGGGGGTTGATGTTGATGAAATGAAGGAAGCTTTGTGAAGTGGATTAGAAAAAAGGCTTTGTTGCAAAGAGCCATGTTTTGGGAAGCGGAACGTAGTGGCAGGTACTAGAATATGTTTCGTAAGTTCAGATATACATAAAATAATGTATGAAATATGAGGTTTGTATGAAATTTCGTGGGATACATTGTGTGTATGCATAAAAACACAATGTGGCAGTTTTACATTTTTTGATCCTACCCCCTTTTGAGTCAAAATCGCGTCTTTTTCTAATTTGAAATTTGTGTGAAAAATATAATTTAATTACAAAATACGTAATTTTGGTGCCAAACCTTGTATTAAACACTTTTATATTTTGGTATATAACCATAGTTACAAAACGCAAATGACAAGGCCTTTCGGGGTCGTAACCATTTCATTACGGACTTTAACGTATTATAACGTTTTTAATCTCTTTAACCTTCTAAAATTGGCCCGAATACCATCCACTCCTCTCCCCGCGATGGCCTCGGGTAGACCCCCCCTCGGCTCTCTGTGCGTTCCCCTGGATGTTCTCTGCCCCCACCCCAATCTTCCCCATCTGGCCCACCCGCCCTACCAATGAACGGTCCCCCTACTTCAGCGATACCTCTGGTTCGTGTGCATTTGACCGAGAAAATCTTTCGCCTTTTACTAAAGATTTCCGTGCACACGAACAATTATGAGTATACTCAAATTTTTGGAGCCCCCTCGCGAGAGCGGGGCAAAAATTGTGCAAAATGAAAAAGGGGAATCGCGAAGGTTATAAAATCCTTCTACAAGTAACGTCTCAAGTAATGTTACAAAAGGAACCTTTATACGTCAGTAAAAATTACGTCATAATCCCTCGGTAAAATTAGCGTTTGTGCCGGAATTTTGAATCTTCGAAGACGGACCTTTCCAACAGATGGTTTCGGACGAAAATAAAGTATACCTTAAAAGATTCTAGGTAATTACAAATTGACAAAATGAAATACACATTAAAAAATTGCAATCACGCCTGAGTAACATTAAAATATCTTCTATTCGCTTTGTTAAGAGTTACGCTAATCTTTGCTACGCGGCTACGCTAAAAATATGCGCTATTCGATTGAAGGTATGAAAAATATTGCTTTGGCAGCTATTACATATTGTATTTATCTTTTCCAAACTTTTTGTATGGAAAAGGCATTGCGAATATATTTATATTTACAACACTTGGGATTTCGCATGTGTTCATACAACAAGAAGTCCCCGGATTTCCCCGACGACATCGCGCGTCATTTTTCAACACAACACCCGCCGAGATTTCTTTGCGAGTATCCGGTGTGATGTCGTGTTGTGGCTGTGTCTGTGTGCTAAATCTTGTGCGTCTCTCAATTCTACTCGATCCCTTCTCCTTTTCTAGCGGCCCGCCGCCTCCCATCGATTCTTCCCCTTCCTCTTCGGCTTCTCTTCTTCTCGGGTTTTTCAGGGGGAGGGCTTCTATTCCCCGGGGACGCGAACTCCCGGCCAATCTTCAACTCAACGGGGTTGAATGCCGTACTAACCTCATCATCGCTTGGGTCATAGCATTTTTAGTGTTTTTTTTTTTGGATAGGCTTGAATTTCAGGGGCTCCGTTCTTGGAAAGTTTGTCTAGTGACAGGTGTTCAAGAGGGGATTCTTTTCAGTTTTTTTTGCCTGGTTTGTCATTCCTCGTCTATTAAAAAATTTAGTGTTGTAATACTAATAATTAAGCTTATGTCAATGAGGCTTATAGATACGTCGTTATGTAATGATGAAGATTAGGTTTACAATCTCTTCATTTTTTTACTAGGCTTGCCGTTCTCGTCAAATTAGCGTTGTAATACTAATACTATTTTATTTTTCTAGATGGTGCAGGCGATACTTTTTCAGGTTTCCATAAATTCCAAGTATAACCATATTTTCTAGCGGATTAAAGGGCAACGGAAACATACTAGATTAACGTCAACTAACTGAGGTTTTTGATGGCATTTTCGGCGTATTTCCGGTCGACACTTGGGGACATTAGAAGCCCAGAAATTGCGGAGTTTTATAATTTTTATGGCAAAAATAGACACCTTTATCGTATCTAACAAGAAATGCTTTTTTCGAAGTTCGTGGACGCCAGTTTTCTGCTTTAAGAACGTCAATGTAGTGATTTCGCGCAAACAAACTACCTAGCATTTTTCAACATTTGAATTTTTATCTGATGACATTATTCTTAGGGCGTTTTCCGGATGCATATCTCATGAAAATATGGTGGTTCTTAACAATACCCCTAAAAAATTTCCTACATTTCTCGCGCCAATTCCCCGTCTCCTTTCAAGGTCTGGGGTTGGGCAAAACTTTCGTGCCGTTCCCCGGCACCCATTTTCTTGTGGTTGATTTATGGGGTTGGTGGCAAGGGGGTGAAGGGTCCGTCCGGCCGGACCTGCGAAGCCATCGGCTGTTCCCCGGCCAAAATGCTATGCTTTTGGGTTGCGGCCAGGCTTCATGCTGTAACAG